AAAAAAATTATTGTAAAAATGTAAGGAGCATCCTTCTTACTTAAGTATATAGTATCACAGAAAAGCAGATGTTATTACAACAGAACATAATATTTTGAATTTGCACACATAAACACCGATGCTCCTTTTGAATCCAGATTTATACTTGAGGTTATGTTAGTATATAAAACAGCATTAGCCTAATTTCTTCTCTTTGGACTTCGGTTTTCTCCTTTTATACTCTTTGTTGATGTAGTTGATTGGTGTGATATATATGTGTGCCATATGGAGTGCAATACAAACTACAGCAATTCTAATTCTATCCTTCTGATTTTTCCACTCTTGCTTCCGTTGCCACGGCAGGCCTAGCCTTAGGGTCTGTTTGGTTGGAGGGGAGGGAAGGGAATCTGAGTCCATCCCCTTGTTTGGTTTTAAAAACATGAGGGAGGGGACCCAAAATTTTGCCTTCAATTCTTTCCCCTCCCCTCCAAATCAATCCTTCCAAATCGGATAGATTCACCTTCCCTCTTGTCCTACTTCTTCCGTCAATTTTTTCTTCACCTTGTCATTAAAAAGATAATAAAAAATTAAAAAAAAAAACAAAAAAATAAAACTAAAATAAATGAAATATTAAGTAAAAAAAAAATAAAAATAAACATATAAATAATGAGAAAACAAAATAAATTATTATAAAACAACAAATAATTACCTAAATTACTAAGAATAAAATAAGTAAATATATAATTATTAAAAATTAAAAATAAAATTAAAAATAAAAACTAATAATAAAAATAAAAAGTAAATAAAAAATCATTATAATATAAAAAACAGAGTAAAAATTCATAATAATAATAATAATAATAAATTATAATAGTAAAATAGATAAATAAATAATTCTTAAAAATTAAAGTAATACATAATCAATATAATAATAAACAAAAAGTAAATATATAATAAATTAAAAAATTAAAAAATAATAAATAATAAAATAATAAAATAATAAATAATAAATAATAATAAAAAATTTAAAAAAATAAAATTAAAAATACTAGTAATAATTTTAAAAATAGATAAAAATTAAATTTTAAAAATGAAAAATAAAACATATAGAAAAATTGAAAATAAAACCTTCCCTTCCCGTCCAACAAAACAAAATGAATGGAGTCCTTTGCACCCCTTCCCATTCTCTCTCATTCATTCCTTCCCCTCCCCTCCCTTTCAACCAAACAGACTCTTAATCTTTAGATAATTCACATAATAAGTAAAGATGATAGGAAAGAAGAGATTCATCTAGGTTGTTGTTAGGAAATTAGAGAGGTAAAGATAGACTGAAGAAAAGTTGTGGTGAGGTGATTAGACATGACATGAGCATTCTACAGCTCACTAAGGAGACAATACAAGATAGGATAATTTGGGGGTCTAGGGTTGTAAGGTAGTCGGCTTACTAGGTGTTTCCTTCTTAAGCTATGTGTAGTTGCGAGTCTACTAAAATAGTAGATGGCTACGTATAGTGGGGTTTTTGAAATGTAGCATATTATTATTTCATGGTAGTACATCTTTATTCTCTCTCTCACACACATTTTTCTATTGGTTTACCTTCACTTTTACTTGGATTGTTTTAGTTAATGTCTTTTGTTCTTGCGAGCTGGGGATCTTTCAAAAAAAGCATCTCTACCTTTTATGGGTAGGGGTAAGGACTACATACAACCAGACACAAAGACAACATGCACACTTAAATAAATATAATCTTATTTGATTTTCCTTAGCATTTTCAAGGTAACACCCTCTCTCTCCCCGCATTATCTATGAGAAATATGTACCCCCCAATGAATGAGAAGCGCATGAACGAAAAATGAATTGTATAAAGTCTGCACCTGTGCAAGTAATATGCATATAATAACACTTTGTAGAACCCTACAGCTTGAACTAGCAAATCTAAAAGGGAATATATGTTTAGAGGCACTTTCCATGCGGAAGTAATAACAATGAGTCCAATGCCAATCCCTAGGGGGATCTCGAAGCAGTATGTAAGGCTTGGCTAAACCCTCAACTCTTGAGTTGGCGTTTGGGTTGACACAAATCTGGTTCTAAAGGGATGGTGATTACGTATCACACATTGGATATTGGGGCTTTGGATCACTACATAACGTGTAGCACCCCAAGGGATTCACATCCAGCTACGAAACAAGAAAATCACATTCGTGAATCAGTTTTTAATCATTTCTCTAAAATAAGACTCAGCACAACTTAACAATTATCCTCAGTAAAAAAACTGCTAGATAACAAATGCAATGGAGTCTTATATATGAACAAAAAAGTTACTGAAAACAAACCGATTCTCCACTGAAATTCATGTAAGCCTGAGGTTTGGCTAAGACAACTGGTACCTCTCCAATGGAACCTATAATAATTAAAATATAAAAAACCCTTCATTGATCATAAAGCTATATCATGTTCTGTTTTTTTTTTTTGGGGGGGGGGGGGGCAAAAGTAGTCACCAATTCCAATCAAAGCTTTTGATTGTATTGTGTTCAACAAAATGCCCTCTTCTTGAGATAACTGATCAATCATTTCAAAACCAACCTGTTAACAAAATACATCAGTCAACAACAAAGAAGAATTTTGAATATGTTTCAAGTTTAAGGAATGCATAAAACCACCACAATTGAGAAGATTAGTGTAGGCAAACTATAAAAGAAGAGCGTAAAGATTTACATTGTGGCGTGTTCCATGATACTTGTTACCAGGGTTACCTAATCCCACAATCAACCATGGTGTGTACTCAACTTTGAGACCATTAGTCACCGGTAGTGAAGCCAATGCTCTTATCCTCACTGGAGATAATTTCTTTGGATAAAAAAAGGAATATCTCGTATATGGTAATTCACAACTTTTTGGAGATGTAGCACACAACATTGACCTAATATTTAAATTTTGTAATTAGACACACGCATACAGTATGTGTAAATGTTGAATTTAAACACAAACATCTATTTATGCCACTCCAAATCACTAAGGAAGACAATGGAAATTCACAATAGTTTCAACCCAAAGACCGTTTGTATAAACAATCAAGACAATATGATAGAACTCGAGATTGGTGGGGAAAATAAATGAAGAATAGTCTTTTATCAAATTATGAAATCAGGATCTAACTCCATAAAATAATAAAGACGAATGAAAATCTTAAACAAAATATGAGCAAGAATCTAAAACTCATATAAGTAATAAAGCCAAGGAAAATCTCCAATAATAAATATTGAATTACTTTCTGGATAACTTGTACAAATAATGAGCCTCAAAATTTATAGAAGCCACCAATTCTTAAAATTTAGGCCAACTACCACATTACCTAGCAACTATCCCTAGACTTTAGGCCCGCTACAATATTACTTAGCAACTACTCCTAGAATTTAAGTCTACTTACACATTATTTTCTACTTAGTCACTAACATATTTAAAATAAAACAACTGACCTGACTCTATTATAAATATTAATAACATAAAATAACAGCATAGGTGGCACTTTATCACAATAGCTATCAGGAACTGAATTAATGACGGAAATGTGAAATATAATAATGGAAACAATAAATTTTAGAGCAATTCTATAAAAAGGCATTTTCTATATATATAGTCCTCCATTCTACGATATTATGTTTATGGTCCTCTATATTTGAGAGCTACTGCATGATCAATCCTTTGGACCCAAATATGTTTTTCATATGTAGTCCACAAAAGATTGATTATGGAATATTTCTCAAATATAGAGGTTCTTAAACATAATATCTTAGAATTGATAACTATATATAGAATACCTCACGTTATAAACGAATAATTAAAAAAAACATTACTCTAAATATTACTAATCAAATCGGCCAACAATTTTTACATTAGAGCACAAACACACATAAAGGTCATTTGTGGGAGAACACGATGTGATTTCTGCAATCTTTAAAAATGGTTGCGTGAGTCTAACAAGTGATCAATTCATGACTGATGAGGCGGGGATCAACTAGAGTTCAGAATTCAGATATTAACGAGATCCCAATCTAGGGAACCGAAGTAGGGACGAACATAGATTGGCCGAGATTTCCGGGCATGGGAGAAAGTTGATATACGAGACTCATAGTTGTCATGGCACATAGCGATATTCATTGTGATGGGATGGTTTCTTAGGGCAATTGCAATGGCACAAACATGGTACACGTCACAAGTCACACAACCAATTAACTAAATTTAAAAATGTATAAGACTACTATATAATAGGTGTCACCATTGCAAATCAAACAAAAAACATCAGGCCGAGCAAAACAGGTGTTCAAAAATCCTCGTGGAGTTGACATAACTGCAAGAACAAATGGACTTCAAAGCACTAAAAAATTAGAAATTTAGACATAAATTCAGTAAAAAAAAATACGGAGTAAAGAGTACTTGATCTAAATAGTCATGTTGGAAATAAAAACACAACCAAAGATTCATTCCTAAACACCGGAAGACGCTAGTAAAAAACAATTTAAGCAAAACTAGAAATTTAATTCAAAAGTAAGTTGACTCACAGTGTGGGAAATAATTTCTTAACATATACTTCGTAGAAAACAAGAACAGATAACATATTATGTTACTTTAAAAAAATACAAAGTAGATTTCCTAATACTGATGTTTTAGTTCCAAAAATAAATTAATGAGAAGAGTCGCCTAGTCTATCGCTAGTCAAAACAGAAGGGATTTCCGTCAAAACTGAAGGATCGTGTAGCTTATAGATTGAATTCTCCCTCGCGTGAATAGGACAATTCTGTAAATTGCGATCCAATAGATCTTACGATCTCACGATTTTAATCGCAGAACGATTCATATGGATTTCCAATCTTCCTCGCGATTCAGATCTCAAATCGACGCAAAACTAAAGCCTAAGTCGCCCAGTTATGACAAAGCTAGGCGAGCAATTGGGCATCCACAATACCTCACCCAGACGCCTAAGCGACATACACATACACATACACATACACATACACATGCACATGCACATGCACATGCACATGCACATGCACATGCACATGCACATGCACATGCACATGCACATGCACATGCACATGCACATGCACATGCACATGCACATGCACATGCACATGCACATGCACATGCACATGCACATGCACATGCACATGCACATGCACATGCACATGCACATGCACATG